GATTCCGGTTAATTGTCGTTTACCTAGGACTGGTTCAATTTCTTCCTCCATTCTACAGCTATATGTTGTATTCCGCAATGTGTGAGTTATTCGATTTTCGAAAAGTTGCAAGTCTCAAACACAACACAATTTTTTCGTCTCCACACCAAAAATTTCAAAAGCTTCAAGAGTGATAATATTATTTTCAGTACATCTTACGGTAAACTCGAGCATATCATGGATGATTTCCATGATTTATCGATATCTGGTCCTTCGATACGTCAAGGTCGGCACCAAAGTTGTCGTTCTAATGTGCATTGCTGGCTATGCGGTGCCCTTTTCGATGCTGGTACGTCTCACTGGCCATCAAAAAAAAATGTCTGATAATTTTCTTCCGTAAATCGCTACTTGAGATCCGCAATCTTGTCCTAACCAAGTATCACATATCATTAATGCAGGCAACCGTCCTAAAAATCGGCGAATGCGACACAGATTTGTGCAAAAGTTTTTGTAGGGTTCAAACCTTCATATCTTTTTCCACCAAATCAGGCATTCCAAATTTTTATACTCAATATAATTTAGCACGTATGTGTAAAGGGCTGCGTCTACCTGCGCAGAGCATGTTGTGGTCCAGCTCAACAACAGGCATCACTGTTGCAAATCCTGGATCTCCTTAGAATAATTCAAGTCTTGCATGTCTCCGTCTTCAATCGTTTGCTGACAGGATATTAGTTCATAAGGCGTCGGCATTGATCGAACAGTTCTTTACATTTTTGTTTAGCAAACTCGAGGTGTTATTTTATTTCTTTATTTACGCACAAGCTGACGTTTTGGCGGATTTCGCATCCCTCAGAGCCTGGAAAGGTCAAATTGACCGCAATTTACGCGGCCAAACACCTCCATAACCAAAAAGATAAAACGCTAAACCAAGATTTCAATCGCATTGAACACAGAATTGCTTCTTTGCACACTCACTGCTTTCTATAAGTCTTCCACTTAATATGTCACGTGGAGGCTAACCGCACAGATTTCACACCGAATCGTATTGTGCCCATCTCATCAAAATCACTATGAGAGTTTTGCGCGCTTGTGTTCTCGATCCTCGCGCGAGTATCGTAACTTCTACTTCAAAATCTTCTCCGTTAAGTCTCTGCGTCCTATGCGTGCCTAGTGGAGCATTTGGTTTACCTTTGCCGACTAGGTGTTTTTTAGACTGAAACCCGAACTCGTGCTATCACCGTCTCTACCATTGGAGCAAATTGTGCGATTTTGCGTTGAACATAGACGGTCCTATAGGCGGTTACGAACTAGCTGGCGTCTTAGATTACTCGGTGGTATTTCGACTATCGTTACCGAATTCTCTAGACCGGCCCTTCTTAAACAGCGTTTTATGGATGCACTTACTTCATTTGAAATGAAAGACAAGATAAACAGGACCTTATTGCCTCTAGAGTTATCGTTGAGGTACCTGTGGTTTCTTCTCACCTATTTAGAGCTGCAGTTTGGTAGCCATTAAAAATGGCTATTTCCCGCGCTAAGTTCCGCGACACCTCTCTCTCTGCTGTGTTCCTGTGCAAACGCTGGTAGCTGTTCGAAACATGTTTCTCACAAGCGCACCTTTTCGTGTGAGAGGGGTGAGAGGAGGGATGATCTCATTTATGGTCATTTCCGCGGGTTTTACGTTCCTTCTGGCCTAAAAGGAACGCATGCAGTGCAACGGTTAGTGGTTTTTTGCAATGCGCACTAGTCATTGGTTCGACAGCGCATCCCGAGCTCACCATTCCTTCTACATATCGGCAGCCTGCAATTTGGTGCCAGAGCTGTCTTAGAGGATAAAAACACTGCCCTAACAGCTCGGCAGGTCATCACAAGTCATTATATAGGCCAGCTATGAAACCAATCACCTCTGCGACTAGCTTGATACTAGGATGGTGGCTGATTCTGGGATTGTTTTATTCTTAGCTGGGCTTTCTGGCGGAAAAACCAGACTCCTTCTTAGTTTGGTGGACCCTGCCATGGGATCAATCCTCCCGCTTTACCTCGCAACTCCAACACCCAGGAACACCTCCCAGCCACGATGAGACGGTAAACCGATAAGAAGTTTGTTTTAAATATAAACCATAATTCTCTGATTCTCATACTGCCAAAGTGTTCACATTCTACCGTAGCGAAATGCTGGTTTTTAGAGTTAACAAATCTTTCTTTTGTCAACACATTAATCCTAGGCGAAAAAGCGTCTCAGCAAAATGAATCCCACAAAACAGAAGTGTTTGTTGTTTTTGGGCTTGTGTGAACAACATTGAGAAATTTTTCATTGTTGTAAACCTTCCAAACTCTAGAGCTACAGACAAATTTGAAACGAAGTTTACATTTTTGAAATAACTTAAAAAGAGCAACATGTCCAGCATTGATCAATCTCTAAGAATACGTCTTGGTATCGTTGAGGTGACTGAATGCAAACTTCGTTCATGCGATTTCATGTGAGGCCTACTAATGTATAGAGCCAATATTTCTACCTTTTCCTCCCCACTGCCACTAAAGCGATTATAAATGGTGCACAGAATTTTCGATGTGAGCGAAATGTTGCCCCACAGCTCATCTGTACAGCAAATTACAATTTGCTAGAAAGGTTATTAGTAAAAGAAAATAAAGGTAGAGGCGCAGATCCGATAGATGGCTTCTCTGAAATCCCGATCGTAACTTATGTCGCTCTCTTTCTTCCGCTCTTTTAGTCCAGCACGTCGTTCTCTATTCTCATCGTTCATTCAATGATTCATTACTGCCTGAGCTACTGCTTCTCCTCTCGTTCTCCAGAAGTAATCTTCATTGAACATTCTCAGANATATAAACCATAATTCTCTGATTTTCATACTGCCAAAGTGTTCACATTCTACCGTAGCGAAATGCTGGTTTTTAGAGTTAACAAATCTTTCTTTTGTCAACACATTAATCCCAGGCGAAAAAGCGTCTCAGCAAAATGAATCCCACAAAACAGAAGTGTTTGTTGTTGTTGGGCTTGTGTGAACAACAGTGAGAAATTTTTCATTGTTGTAAACCTTCCAAACTCTAGAGCTACAGACAAATTTGAAACGAAGTTTACATTTTTGAAATAACTTAAAAAGAGCAACATGTCCAGCATTGATCAATCTCTAAGAATACGTCTTGGTATCGTTGAGGTGACTGAATGCAAACTTCGTTCATGCGATTTCATGTGAGGCCTACTAATGTATAGAGCCAATATTTCTACCTTTTCCTCCCCACTGCCACTAAAGCGATTATAAATGGTGCACAGAATTTTCGATGTGAGCGAAATGTTGCCCCACAGCTCATCTGTACAGCAAATTACAATTT